CATCATCCGTAAACCCTCACAAGCTTTCTCTAATGCACATTTAGTTCTGAATTAGGTTACTTCGCACCCTAATTTCCTCTCCTGTCAAGTGACCTCGATTAATTTCTCGATTGCTGACCTCTCTGCTATTCTCGGATGAATAGTACGGATTATATGACTTTGGAAATCCGTTGCTATTTTAAATGCTAGGTAAATACAGAGAGAAGGTTTACGTGAACTCAATATAAGCAACGCTATGAGGCGTGTCAACCAAGGCACCAATGGACGAACAAAAAATTTATTACAGTATCAAAAACACTCCCACTACACTAACTCCCCTAGTTCTCAAACTGGTTACCAGAGACGACCTTTCTCAGATTTTTCAAAACATCGCAAAAAATGTCCAGGTATGCCAATGATAAGAACATGTTTTTCATTGCTTCCTTCTTATAATGGAATGATTCTGAACTTTGACGCTTCGATTCGCTGTTTCGAATTGCGCAACTGTATTAATAATTATGATAAAGTTTCTGATTCACTAATTCAGAGAATCCACTTTAGTTTATATGAGAACGGCAGAGATCAGCAACCAACTGATTGAGCAAGGTCACCTCACAGTGTGCACACCACAAAGCGAACTGTTTTGGAAAGAAAATCCCTGTGCTCAGGTTCTCACTCGCGGAACAAATCTCCCCCTTCCACTCCGATGAGATTCCACCACCTTGAGCAGATCATTCTCGAGGATTTTGATTGAGCGGTACTGTTTATGCAAGCCTCGGCTTTCATATACTTTTTAAATTTCCATAGCAACCTCATTCGAGGTATTGTTCTTCTTCTCTTCTCGAAGTATTGTTGGATCGTTTGGTGTCGGTACTTTATGGTACTTCTGCTTATCCGTAGTGTTTTACCAACCGTTTCGCAAGGCGATTAAGTTTTTACCAGTGTTCACGGGCACATGGAAGTTGAATGTGCATTCCTCAAAAAGCATGCGCAAGGAAGTGTGTTTTAAACTACTCATTAAAGATGAGTTAGTCAAGAGGTAATGAATCATTTCCATTAAGCCCTTATGGTAGTCAATAATGCATCGATTATATAAGACAATCCTGTTGGAATCTTTTACTTTATTTCCCTTTTAAGTACTTCAAATAACAGTATCTGACAAATATGATGATGGTTAAATAGTGATTAGACTACCTATTACTCAAGAGGTACCGTTGGTAAGTTCCCGTGTCGGTTTCGCAATATACGCAGTTTCGCTTAGACCTTTGATATTCGATCGTGATTCAATCTAAGAATTTAGTGTAGCAGTCTACGTTTTGCCCTTTTAAAGTCTGAGTATTGTGCATGTAGAGCTATTTATATCGTTCTTTTCTTTTTATTCTCTCGATAAACACGGTTTTAAAGCGAGATATTTTCCGATTGACCTTATGATACGACCTTTTTCGAATTTTTTTAAGATCCGAATATGGCTTGAAACTTTTGTCATGAAAAGAACGTGACTAGGTGATTCATACACTTTGCGTAAGTACTTCTAATAGCTCAGCAAAACGAGGGATGAGGGCGCGAGATGTTTTCATTAATCTCGGCGAGTCGGTGAGTCAGAAATCCAAAGAGATCCCGGTAAGTAATTTACTCTAGGCCTTCAAGACCTTTAATGTTGGCCCGCCAAATCCCATATCTGTGGCGAAAGGAGAAATATTGAAAAGTTGTCTGATGTAGGTATGATGTTCAACTCATTTCGATATCTAGCAACATTTCAAAATGCCTTTTTAGCTCGGATTAATCATGAATCCATCGAATACTACAGCATATTGCAAAGAAAACAAAATTTCTTTTCTTGTTCAAGCTGCTGTAAGACTGCTGCCGCATACACAAGCGAGGCAATTCATCACAAAACTTGTAAAGGTACATTTTCCGAGAGGCCTTTTTCTGGCTCTTCGATGTATTTTTTCTTTGAGGAAGAATTTGCAAAAGCCTTACTCAGTGAAACCATGAGTTGGAGTGATCTCGCTGTTGGAGGGATGAATATGGACAAGTTTAACGAAGAAAAGCAGCTTTTGCTCTGTGAGCATCTAATCTATGAGAGTATGTGGGTATTGAACAATGCTCCAGCAGACTGAGAAACAGTTTACTATTGCATTACTTCTAAAATATCTGCAGTTTTGTGCGGGATGTAGTGGGACTGGCTCCAGGCGAAAGAGCCTTCATAGCGAACGGTATCGTTATTGGGCCATTTGACGAGCAGGAGCCCATTATTGAATCTGACGTGGAACTTATCGCTCGAATCGTCGAGTCTCGTGGAGCGCATGTGAGTAATGTAATACTTCGCTGAGTAATTTATTCGTGGTATTCCTTTTTCAGGTCATAGCATCTTATATTGATCAGTGGAAGGGTGGGTATGGTGATGGTTTCTCGTCGGATCTTGTCATGCGCAGTTTTGCGCTAGTTTCAAAACACGCATTCAGTCAAAAACGAACGATTATCAAATTAGGTGAAACCAAACGCAGGTACAGCATATTTTTTGCTGTTAGAATTAAGGTAAAGAAAAAAAAACGAAAAATGTATGCCCAGGCAGCTGCGAGGTTGTACACTACTACCTACCATCGGAGCTACAGTCATTTAGGAAAGTGAGTGCGCAGTACAGTGGAAAACGGTTGGGGCAGGGGAAATTTAAGCTTATCAGGGGTTTGAATCTGAATGAAATGACGAGGTCGATCAAATCTACGCACGCAATCTACGTGTAGGCTTTTTTATCAGTGCACTGCATATAATACTTAAGCATATCAAATCTTTCATCTCACTTTACATGCCATTGACTCTTGACTTCATTGCACAGCTCTCCTGAATTTCTTTTCTAGTTAGAGTCGCATGCTATTTGCTGCTTTCATGTGAGTTATTCCGATACAAGGCACGCTTTCATTTGTCGATATTGGAGACCGCTTCAAATAAGAGAGTAGGATTGAAGGGTGTGCAGCGGTTTATTCGCCGAAATATCGGGGTCACGGTGAACACGTAGCCCGTGACCCTTGCAATTGAGATTTATACNGTTTATTCGCCGAAATATCGGGGTCACGGTGAACACGTAGCCCGTGACCCTTGCAATTGAGATTTATACATGTTGCCAAGAGCATGCGACCACACACTCACACAACTTCAAAAGGTAGGCAGAGTTTTGAAGATCCTGTTTTTTTCGATTCTTTTGTTCGTGTGCAAGTTTATTCTTTAGACATTTCCCATGCTTTTCCTCTTTAGAATTTCTCTTCCATTTTCAATGCATATAGAACTGTGATGAAGAAGCGCGCTCAATCATTACGAACTGTTTCATTTAAACTCGGCTTCACCCTCGACGCGCAATGCGTCGCTCATTACGTGTGCGGCGTTACCTCATATATTGGCGACAGGTTCGTACGCGCCACAGAAATGAGATGTTCTTGTTGTTGTTAGGAAGTCTTTTTCGGAAAGAAGGAATGTCTGTTCTTTACCGGTAGAAGTTTCACGACACAGCGACTGTTGTACAGTGCATCGCAAAATGATACAGCCACCTCTAATTTCCCCAAAAACTCACAGTATATGATGTTTCTGAAAAACTGCCA